CATCTCGCAAACGGAAGAGGAGCGCACTGAGGAGCGGCGTGCGAAGCGGACAGTCGGCAAAACTTGCAGGCTGAGAAGCACCGCAGAAACTCGGAGGCTGAGAAACACCGCGGCCGCGCAGTCCTACTACTGCTGGAACTAAGATTACAAGTACGCACGCCGAGAAGCACCGTGGACACGCGGGCTCGAATACTTCACCTCTCCCGCTTGTATTGCAGGAAATCGCGCCAATCCGGCGGCTGGCAAGTACCGAGGGGGCGCAGGCTGAGAAGCACCGCGCGAGTGCAGGCTGAGAAGCACTACGCGAGTGCAGGCCACGGCATTGCGTGTCACATGAATGCAGGCTGAGAAGCACCACATTTTGTTTGCCAGAGATCACTCCCAGGTCACCTGATCCCGCAACAACAGCCACGGCGTAGCTGCCACAGGGGCCGCAGAGAGCAACGGCTCGGTCACCCAATTGGCCTGTCGGTGAATCACAATGCGCGCGTGGCTCCATGAGCCATTGTATCGCGCGTTGCGAGGCACCAGTGTGCTGTACGTGTTGTTGCCGTAGCAGAAGACGGCCTCTGGGGCCCAGTGCGGATTCCAGCGGACAACGTAGACCCTGTGGACGCCATTCCGGATGACGTCGCGCGCACCCTCGATCTGTGCCACCCATCGAAGCTAGTCAAACGCTGAGCCATCGGTGATGTCAACAGCACCTGGGGCAGTCTCGCCATGGTGGTAGTGCAACAGCGTTTGGAGAGCGGCGCTCGCTTCGTCGCGGCCCACAGTCTGGCGCGAGCGGGCGGCCTCTTGCAGGTGCTCCAGTGCGAAGAGCAGCGGGGCATCACCGCCAGGCACGGCAGGCTGAGCAGCGCCACCGCTAGGCATGGCAGGCTGAGCAGCGCTGCCACCAGGTACATCAGGCTGAGTAGCGGCAGGCCCAGGCACCGCAGGCTGAGCAACGGCGCGTGGTGGACCGACATAGGTGGGCTCATCGGGTCGGCCGTTCTTGTGGTAATGCAGGCGCATGGCTGAGCCGTCTGCGCGAACGAACTCAAAGAAATGGCTGCCGTGGCCATCCGTGTTGGAGTAGTTTGGGTCGCGCTCTGTCTCGATGATGCGAAAGAGAACCCGGGCGACGCCCTGGCCGATTACCCGGTCAGCGAGACCCGGAGCGGCAGACCGAAGCAGTTGCTTCCAGTCGTAGAACGGGTCGTTTGTTACGTCTCTGAACGACGCGTCGTTGGCAATGCACTGCGCGCGCAGCGCGCGCTGCCATTGGCAGGCGGCATTGCCACCCATGCCTGGTGCACGGGGAACCTGTTCGAGGTGAGCTCGCTCAAAAACCACATCGAAATCTGGCTCGGCAGGCGGTCCGGGCGGAAGCGGCAGAGACTCCTCCGGGACATCAGATGGCGGCGGGGGCGGCGGGGGCGACGCCGCCTTGTCGCGTCCTGGCATTGCGAGAAAGCAGGCTGAGGAGCACCGCCGCGGCTGGGCGCACAGGTGGATCTCGAGCAAACAAGTGGCTACGGATCTTGTCGCATGTTGATTTGTACAATCAATACTGGAGAGCTCAAAGTGTCCTCAATGGTGGCAACGGTAGTACCCCCAGTCGGAGTAGTAGTTGCAATGGCAGTAGCTGCAACAGCAGTAGCTACAGGAGCAGCAGCAGCAGCAGCAACATCAGTAGTACTCTGAAGGGCAGCGGTAATGGTGGTAGTAGTAGTAGTAGTAGTAGTAGTAGTAGTAGTAGTAGTAGTAGTAGTAGTAGTAGTAGTAGTAGTAGTAGTAGTAGTACTAGTAGTAGTAGTAGTAGTAGTAGAAGAAGAAGTAGAAGTAGTAGTAGTAGGCCCACCAGTGGTACTAGTAGTACGAGCTGGAGTGGTAGGACGATCAGTAGTAATGGTAGCAGTAGAAGTAGTAGTAGAAGTAGCAGAAACAGTAGTAGTACCAAGTACACATTGCTATCCACTAGCGTATGCGTAAACGAGAGACTGCTCGCCATGGATTTAGTCTGGAGAGATCCTGTTCTGCGCCTCCTCAGCGAACCCTTCCATGGGGTTTGGAAGGCCCTCCGCCTCCGCGATGCGAGTCTTTGTTGTGGCTTCGCTCTCCGCTTGCTTGAAGGCCTGGAGCTCGGCGTCCTGCTCCGGGGAGAACTGGTTGGCTTTCCGTGCTTTCCGGACTTTCTCTGCCAGCTGCCGCTCTGCGAGGCCACGCCCGGCATACTCCTTCGGGTGGCGGCCGAGGTCTCGCACTTGCTGCATGAGCTCCTCGGTCTTGTCTCGCTTTTGCTGCATGAGCTCCTCGGTCTTCTGCTTCCGCTTGAGCTCCTCGGTCTCCGTCTGCCGCTGATCAGCACAGCCCAGGGCCCGCAGTTCATGCAAAATGTCTTTGGGGATGCGGTCGCGATGGTCCGAGAAACGTTTGGCCAACTTGTTTTCGGCCCGTTCTTGTTCGGACGTTCCTTTATTTCGCTTCGGTATCCGGCCGAACTGCTTCACGTGCTCGACGAGCGTTTGCAGAGGACCGCTCAATGCAGCACGCTGAGGAGCAGCGCTGTTCCCTGCCGCAGGCTGAGGAGCACCGCTGTTCAATGCAGCAGGGTCAGGAGCACCGCCGCCAGACCGAGAACTATCAGCATGTCCTGGCATTAAGGTGCGCAGTAGGCGCTGCGCAGTTCCTTTGAAAGGAAATCTTCGGAAGCAGGGCTGTAGCCAAGAAGGCTACGGGGACGATGATGATGATGAAGATTATGAGTCTTGGAAGTCTGGGAAGTGGAAGAGCACGAAGTGGCGCACAGTTGGCTCCGGGCATTCAAAATGTTGCCCGGGAGTAAAGTTCTGGGAAGTCCAAGAGCACGAAGTGGCCTACAGTTGGCTCCGGGCATCCAAAATGTGGCCCGGGAATGAAGTTCTGTGAAGTCCAAGAGCACGAAGTGGCCTACAGATTGCTCCGGGCATCCAAAATGTGGCCCGGGAATGGAGTTCTGGGAAGTCGAAGAGCACGAAGTGGCCTACAGTTGGTTCCGGGCACCCAAAATGTGGCCCGGGAATGGAGTTCTGGGAAGTCGAAGAGCACGAAGTGGCGTACAGTTGGTTCCGGGCATTCAAAATGTGGCCCGGGAATGGAGTTCTGGGAGGTCGAAGAGCACGAAGTGTGCGACTGTTTGCTTAAAACGAGCCTGGCCCTCGCCTGTCCGGCTCCCGCCCAGACCCCCTCTGGGGAGTCATCAGATGCTCTCTTTTGACCCCATTAGAAACTTATCAGTCTTCGCTGTTAGGTAAAATTGCCCTGTACCCCCCCCCCAACCCGAACTTCGGGCCTTCGGGTTGTGTTGGGGTGGTCTGGCAGGCAGTCGGATGACAGGATCCCTCGGGGCCCGCTGCGTTTGCTTCTTTCGTTCGGGGGCGAGGCCAGGCCGTCGGGGCGCGCGTGGGCGGGGCGGGGCGGGGCCGGCACGGGCGGGCACGGCCCCGTGCTCGAGCAGCGGCGGGGGGGGGGGGGGCGGGCGGGAGGGAGGGCGAGGAGGGCGAGCGAGGGAGGGAAGGAGCGGGCGAGGAGGGCGCGGAGGGAGGGAGGGCGAGGAGGGAGGGAGGGCGAGGAGGGAGGGAGCTCCCGACCCGCTGGCTCTCAGAGATCCCAGGTGGTCCAAGTGAGCGATGCCCCCACTGAGAAAAAGCAAGACGCAGAAAGACACGGACACGATTGCGCCGACATTGGCGCGTAAGTTGCTCGCGTAAGGTCTAGCGTGCCGCGCTGGCGGCCCGCGTAACCCACCGCGTAAGGTCGCTATACCATCCCGCGTAAGACCCGTGTCTTTTTCGTCGCCCAAGTGGATCGCGCCATTGCGCCGACCCCCAGCGGAGCAGAGACGTCCAGGGCGTTTCGGTTGGAGCTGGAACGGCTAGGTGTTTACGCTCGCGCCCGCGAGGGCTCAATTCTCAAGGGCCTAGAGAGCTCTGGGGGGCATCTGGTCGGCTTTTTGTGGCCTCCTAGGGGAGCCCATGGGGAGCCTTTTGGGGGGCCTCTTGGGGGCCACTGGGGGGCGCCTGGGGGGTCTCTCGGGTGAAATCCGGAGGTTGGGTCGGTAACCTCCGGAGGTTACCGATTCGGACCTCCGGATTCCACCGAATTGGCCTCCCCCCTTCCCCCCAGGGGGGGGGGGGATCGGTAACCTTCGGAAGTTCCCGTTGCTTCTCCTGGAGCAGGGTTTTGAAGCCGTTTTCCCTTGTGGTTCTGGAGTTGTTTCTTCCCTTGGAGTTGTTTCCCTGGGGACGCGTTCCTCTCCATCCCCCTGGGGGGCGGGAGGTCGGGAACCTCCGGAGGTTACCGATTCGGGGGGGAGGAGGGGCGGGAGGGGAAATCGGTAACCTCCGGAGGTTACCGACTCGGGGGCGGGAAGGGCGGGGGAGGGCAAGTCGATTCTCTGTCGGGGGGCCCCGCTTGAGCGGGGAGGCGGGGCCCTTCCTTGTCGGGAGCGTTTCCACCACCGCTCCATTGGGGGGAAGAGAGGCCATCGGCAACCTCCGGAACATGAGGGCGATGAGGGAAAGTACCATGAGCAGGATGAGGGGGGAAAGGAGAAGGGTGAAGAACAGTACGGAGTGTGCACGTGGAGGGATTTTACATTCCACGTACGGAATTGAAACAGCGCAACTTCAACAGAACCTCCGAGGGGGAATCGGTAACCTCCGGAGGTTACCGACTCACTGTCCGAGGGGGAATCGGTAACCTCCGGAGGTTACCGACCCAACCTCCAGATTCCACCGTTTTTTGCTCCTCCCTCCTCCCTCCTCCCTCCTCCCTGTCCTCCTCTTCTTCTTCCTCCTCCTCCTCCTCCTCCTCCCTCTCCTCCTGCGTCTCCACCCATCTCCACCGAGCATGTGCCGTGAGGGGGGGGGGGGGGACGGGCGGGAACGGGAGCAGCAGGAGGAGGCTGGCAAGTGGGTAATTGCAGCAGTCAGTTGCAGAGCAGCGACTTCACCTTGTGTGCAATATTGGGTCAGCTGCTCCAGTGTTTGGCGGCGAATGCCGCCACCGTGCCCGAACAGCAGTCCGTTTGGCGGCAACATGTGAGCTCTCGTCCTCGGTCTCCAGAGGCCCATAGCATGTGGCACCGTCTCCCGCGGGCTACAGAAGACCGTGATCTGTGATGGCTGTCTCTTGCAAGCCCCAGAGGGCCACAAGATGTGACGCCTCTCTTCTCGAAGTCCCAGGTGGGGGTCGCAACGTGTGACAGCCGTGTTCCACGCGGCTCAGGGGGCCGTGCTGCATCACACCAGGGGCGGGGGGGGCGCCCAAGAGCTTGCCAGAGGGCTCTATTCGTTGTGAGGTCCTTCGTGGGAGCCTCAGCCAGTCCCAGCATTCCTTGCGGCTTGGTCCGCCAACCCATCTTGGCTCGAGCCCTCCTGGCGCAAGGCCCGTCTCCGCTGGACCCACTCGCTTGCGCGGCAGACCGTTCGTCCGTGGGCCGCACGCGGCTCTGCCCCCTGTGCGCGCATGTCCAAGGCCGCGACGAAGACGAGCACGGCGGCGAGGGTGACCGTCTTGACCAGCCTCCCGGTCTCCCTCGCGTGGCGCTCCGCCGGCTTCCGCTGGGCGCAGGACGACATGCCGGCAGAGTTCTCCCGCATCGCGCCGCTGCTGCTCGGCTCGCTGCTGCTCTGCGTTGTGCTTCTCTTCCTCCTCCTCGCGGTGCACGGCCGCGCGGAGGCCCGCAAGGTATGCAACAGGAGGTATGCCAGCGCCGCCCTTCCGGGAGTCTTTTCCGCGTTGACCTTCGTGCTTGAAAACTTCGCGCTCGCGAACGGCCTCAGCGCGACCCTGGTGGTTCTGCTCAACAAGTGCGCGATTCTGCCGGGCGTCCTCGGGGAGATCTGGTTGACGCGGACCACGCCGTACCGCACGCAGCTCCTCACCATGGCGGCTTTGCTCTTGTGCATCATCGTCTACTCTCTCGGTGGCGAGGGCGAAATTAACATGTCGCTGGTCGGGTTGCTCTTGGGCCTTGGTGCAGCCCTCTCAGATGGAGTCGGCGACATCGCCTTTGAGGCCACGGCGAAGTCCTGCCTCGACGACCTGGAGGAGGATTCGGGTGCCGAGACGCTCAGGTGCTTCCTCGTGAACGAGCTGTACAAGTCCGTGTTCAACATCATCTTGATGCTCGTGTTCGAGCACAAGTACTTGTCGCGAGGTCTTTTCCATGGCTGGGGCCTCCCCATGCTCGTCGGCGGTGTCATGTCGCTCCCCGTGATGGTCGCGCTTTACAACACGGCCATCTTGACGGCCGGCAACTTGAAGACCAGGATCGCTGCGTCCGCCGATATCGGCATCGCCTATGTGATGGATGCGATTATCTTCGGTGACACGGTCAGGATCTCCCAGTGCCTGTTGATCCTCGCCATCATCGCCCTGATCGGCGTCTACACCCAGTTCGCCGTCGACGTGCAGAAGGCCGCCGCAGACGCCCCCATCAGGTCGGAGAAGCCAGACGCAGATATTGTGTACGTAGTGTAAAAAGTTGTTCGCGGCCCCTCATCGGGGGAGCTCTGCGTCTCGGCCAAGGCTGGCGACCGCAGTAGTAGCAGTAGTCGTGCTGCCTACGGGCGATGGAACTCTTGGCGGTAATTTCGGACGAGCAAGGGGTCATGATAATGATACTTTCCCAGATTTCCAGGATGTCCACTTTTTCTTGATGTTTCTCGGGGCTGCAGAATCGAGGACCACTAGGTTCGCTGGAAATCCTGGAACGTATCCTGAACCAGTCCTATCATGACATCGTCCTCGCCTTAGTATTGGACTACCACCGCGGCTAGGGTTGTTGGACGACCACCGCGGCTAGTCTTGACGCCATTGTTACTACGATGGCAGTCGGCACTACAACTGAGCAAGTGCACGCATCGGGCCGAAGCGATACCAACCGTGGCCAAATGCTTTACCGACATGCATACAAATCAGCGATGCCAATCTGACGCTTCGAAGCTGCGGCCAACCTGCTACTATCTAAAGGCTGCCGCCTCTGCCGCCGACCCCAAAGGAGGTTCCCCGTACAGTTGAATTCATGGCTTGGGAACTTTCTCAAGCAGGGGTCAAGGGGTTGCCTTCCTGCGCTCGTTTAGGTTAGGCGTTTGTGTTTTTTGTCGGGGCGACGGTCCTGAGATGCCCTCTCGGGGTTCGCTCCAGTTGTCCGGCGACTTCAGGTTCCTGGTGTCCAGAGGGTATGTTGGGCCGTCTTTGGTAGATCTTGGGTTCTTTTCCGAGCATGTGGAGGCGTGGTTGGGCTTCTGCGGGGCCTTATCCTCTTCTTCCGCGACTTTTCGGCCTCTCCTCGTTCTCTTTCCCGTCGCTTCCTCCTCCTCCTCCTCCTTGGCTTTTTGGCCTTCCGTTTCTCGACCGGCCTTCATGATGATGATGATGATGATAATGATGATGATGATGATGATGATGATGATGATGATGATGATGATGATGATGATAATGACGACGACGCTACCGACGACGACGACGGCGTCGACGACGATGATGATGCTGATCATGCTGATGATGGTGATGCTGATGCTGATGCTGATTATGATGATGATGACGATGATTATGATGATGATGATGATGATGATGATGATGATGGGGATGATGAAGAAGTGGTGATGGTGATGGTGGATGATGATGATTATGATGATACTGATGCTGATGCTGATGATGATGATGCTGCTGATGCTGATGATGGTGGTGGTGGTAGCGGTAGTGGTGGTCATGATGATGGTGATGATTATGATAAGGATTAATATTATTATCATGATGATGATGATGGTGATGATGGTGATGATGGTGTTGATGGTGATGTTGATGATGGTGCTGCTGATGATGATGATGATCCGAACTTCGAGATGCCACGCAACAGGTTGTCAGGCCAGTTTGACCTGCGACATCCTGGCAACTGGCAACGCTTAGCTCCCACATGCCCTGTCCTGATGTGGTCCTGTGTTTCGCCCGAGAGTCCCTCGCGCTTCTGAGGTCGGAGATGCCCCGAGAGGCCACGCAACACGTTGACCAGCCAGTTTCGCCTGAGCCACCCTCGCAACTGTGGATTTGGAGACGCCCTGACCGGAGGTGGCCTCTCCAAAATCGCCTGAAACATCCTCGCAGCTCGTCGGGGCGGACATTTCCTGACCCTGTCAGGTTGGATAATGATAGTATTCCCTACCTAGGCTCTGCCTAGAAGGGTTCTTACCCTGTTCTCTTCAAGGGCCGGGCAGTGTAAATCGCCCCGGGCGGTTTCCCCGGCATCCGCCCCGTGGTTCCCCCAGTGACGTCCCTTTAGCTTAGCGCTGCTTATCTCATCTTAGCTTAGCTTAATTCATCTTAGCTTAGCTTCGTTCCATCTCAGGTCAGGTTTATCTTAGCTTAGCTTACATTCATCTTAGTTTCGCCGAGCTTTAGCATAGCACAGCGCAGCATAGCATAGCAGAGCGTAGCACAGCATAGCGCAGCACAGCATATCATAGCATAGCATAGCGTAGCATAGCATAGCGCAGCATAGCATAGCATAACATAGCATAGCATAGCGCAGCACAGCACAGCATAGCACAGCGCAGCATAGCGCAGCATAGCAGAGCAGAGCATAACATGGTGATGCTGATGGTGGTGGTGGTGATGATGGTGATGATGATGATGGTGATGATGTTGATGTTGATGATGACGATGAGCATGAGGATGATGATGATGATGATGACGATGGTGATGACGATGATGATGATGATGCTGATGCTGATGCTAATGATGATGAGAATGATGGTCATCGTGGTGTTGATTGTGATGATGATGATGTTGATGATGACGATGAGCATGAGGATGATGATGCTGATGCTGATGCGGATGCTGATGATGATGAGGAGGATGGTGATGGAGACGGTGATGGTGACGGTGATCATGATGATGAGGATGATGGTGATGGAGATGGTTACGATGACGGTGATCATGATGATGAGCATGAGGATGAGGATGAGGATGATGGTGTTGATGTTGATGATGGTGTGGCTGATGCGGGTGGAGATGAAGATGGATATGGTGATGCGGCTTTTGCGGCGGATGACGACGATGATGTTGACGATGATGATGATGTTGATGATGATGATGAGGATGGTGATGATGGTGATGATAATGGCGATGATGATGTATATGATGATGATGAGGAAGAGGAGGAGGAGGTTCATGTCGATGCTGCCGCTGCTGATGATGGTGATGATGAAGAATTTGATGATAATGCTGATGATTATTTTGATGCTGCTGCTGCTGCTGCTGATGATGATGTTGCGGTTGTTCTAGTGATGATGATGAAGATGATGATGAGGATGACGGTGATGGTGATGGTGATGGTGATGGTGACGGTGATGATGATGATGATGCTGATGATGATGATGATGATGATGATGATGATGATGATGATGGAGACGAAGAATATGATGATGGTGGTGGTGGTGTTTTTTCCATGTGGGATGTCCCGTAGCACCAGAGGCCCTCTATTCGAGGGAGGGTGTGCCCGAGCCGAGATTTACAATTTTCCAGCTGTAGCTGCTTTAGGGGGAGCCTTCTTTCTCGGTTGGGCCCCCAGGCAGAAATTCGGGGCGTCCCAGATGAAAAATCACCCCGGAACCGTTCCAGCATGTTATCCCCTTTGGGCTCCCCCAGTGGACCAGGCGCTCTCGGGGATAATTGGACGGGTGTTGCACCCGTTCCCTCAAACCAGTCATATTCCACATCGAATCTCACAGCGTGTGCCCTTCCAGCAGTGTGTACATGGGCTCCACCCGAAGAGACGGTTCGGTGGACCTGGACGAGCGTATCTCTCTAATGTGTGACTCGCTGTTTTGTGAGGTTTGTCGATCCCTGGAGGTGTCCCGCTCCAGGTCAGCACTGGTGATCTAAGGTAATGCTGCCAATGGCGAGCGAGAGAGAGAGAGAGATAGAACACTGAGGCAGGGAGGAGGAGAAGGAGGAAGAGGAGGACGAGGAGGAAAAGGATGCTGAAGAAAGAGGAACACAACATCACATAATAATCGTAACAATAAGAAGAAGACGGGTAATAAGACATAGCGTACTAGTGTTAGTACCAATCATACGAATACGAATGCGAGTAGTACGAAAAATGTGAACACTAGTACTACACCGAAGAAGAAAGCACAGTAGTACAAATCCGAACAATACGAATATCATTACGAATGCTACGACAAAGAAATATATACAGACACATACATGTAATATTACGAATTATACTACTACTTCTGATCCTACTACGGGTAATCTTAATATTATGAATAACTAATACGGCCCATTCCCGGCTAGTTCCCACTAGCCCCAGCCTTCGGAGTGACGGCCCATGCGGCGCAGGGGCAGACGTTCAAACAGGGTGTCATAGTGGACCTGGGCATCGGCGGAGGCACGTCACCTCTGTCGAGCTACGTGGCACTGACGCGGGTGCAGCGCCGCGAGGACATGCTGATCTTTCGCCCTTTCGACATTGCGCCGTATCAGAAGAAGGACGAACGGCAGGGCCCGGACTTGCTGCTGCGCACGTTGCGCGGAGAAGACTTGGATTGGGAGGCGATAGAGAAGGAGTTCATGTTGTCCGGCAGGTGCGCGGTCTGCGGGTGCACGAAGTACAAGAATATGTACCCAATGGTCGGGCAGTGGAGCCGCGCAGACGGGCTCCGCGCGTGCACCGTGTGCCTGGAAGATAAGAAGAGGGCGGGCACACCGTGGCAACGCATGGAATGTGGGCTGTGGAAGTGCCAGGAGGCTTTCCACGCGTCACAGCACCACGCGTCGAAGTTGACGACGCGGCGCTGCGTGGACTGTCCCGAGAGACGGAGTTGCCGCGCGTGCGAGGTTCGAAAGTACGAAGAAGCGTTCGCCCAGTATCAGTGGGAGCTGGCAGGGAACAGCCGGTGTAGAGGGGGGATGTGTTTAGATTGCGAGGAGCTGAAGAAGCACCTGAAGTGTTCCCGCTGCGGCCAGCAGAAGTTACCAGAAGAATTCGCCAAAGCGGAACAGGTCTACGACGAACCCACATGCAAAGCTTGTAAGAAGTTGTAGAGGGAGGAGGAGAAGGTCCGCGCCGAAGAAGCAAAACGGGTTGTGTGCTCGAAATGTGGGGAGTCTAAGAGGAAGGCCGAGTTTTCAGATCACAAGCTGACCCACGCTTCGGAAACGTCGATTCTTTGTTCCAGTTGCGTCGATGCTGCAGCTGCAGAGCGGGACAGGGCGTCGCGGAAAGACGTGAGGTTCTGCATTGGGTGCCATGTGGCGCAGGGACGAGATTGTTTTTTTCGAATCGAATGTGGGAGAAATGGGCTGCTCACAACCGCAAGTGCGCGCGCTGCATCGAGGCGTCAGCTGCGAGCTTGAAGATTTGCGCTGCGTGCGAAGTGGCGCGGGGACGTGATTCGTTCGCGGACCATGTGGACAAGCGCAGCTGATCGAGATCGCAAATGCAAGCGTTGCGTCGAGGGAGACAAGATACAGCGGGGATGTTGGAAGTGCATTGGCTGCAAGGGCGCGATGCCGAAGGTGGAATTCAGCCGTTGGCTGGCCGGGCGGAATTCGAAGAAACCAAATAATAAGCAAAGCTGCAACAAGTGTTTCGCGCATGAAGAGCGGAGGAGGAAGGAAGTCGCTGAGAGGAGTTTGGAGTCGGTGACGAAGAAACAGCAGGTAGCCGGCGCGCGTGGAGTGGGGAAAGGCGCAGGCTCTGGCGGCTTATGCTTATGGGCTCTTAGGAGGTGGAAAAGACAAGTGGAAGTGCCGTGGTCGGGGGCCCCAAGAACTGAGCTGCCGTGGGGTGGGGAGTCCCCAGAACAGAGCTGCCGTGGATGCAGGTGTCGGGACGTGGTGAGAGCGCGGGGGGGGCGTCGGTGGGTTCCGGGCGAGAAATTGCAGGTTGGGGGGTCCTAAGAACAGAGCTGCCGTGGATGCAGTTTACGGGACGTGGTGGGAGCGCGGGGTGGGGGCGCGGTGGGTTCGGGCGAGAAATTGCGGGCTGGGTGCCCAAGAGCGGAGCGGCGTGGTGGTGGGGGCGTGGGTTCGGGGGGGGGCGTCAATGGGTTCCGAGCAAG